ATATTCTAGCGTCATATTCATGCATGAAAATTAAGTGTGCACTCTCAATAAACATACATAAATAGGTTATCAATCAAATAGTTAAACAAATTGAATTCACAACTTATGAAACGCAATTAGAAGTAATCGAATCAAAATGCAAGCATAAACATATATTTCGAATCCCCCCCTAGCCAAGGGGGGGTTTAGTTCCTCATGATACAAAACAAAGAGAATCAAAGAAACACCTAAACATTCCAACAACTCAAACTTGAATTGTATGAACGTTTATGCCCTCTTCTCTTCCATTCCTCATTCGTACAAAACAAAGAGTATTGAAATTAAATATTGAAATCAAAGAAACACCTAAACATTCCAACAACTCAAACTTGAATTGTATGAACGTTTAGGCCCTCTTATCTTCCTCTTCGTTGTAGCACAAGGTCTAAGGATAGTTTGATGGTGTGAATGGTTTGGGGAGTGGTGAAAATGGAAGGAGGAGGCCACGGCAATGGGATGATTTCTGGTGGTGTTTGGATTGGTAGGGAGACTCACGGCACAAAGGGTTCTCTTTGGTGAATTTCTGAAAATGGAAGAGTGAATGAGAATGAATGCAATGGATGCTTATTTATAAGTGAATGAAGGAAGAAAAGAGGGAATATGACAGCTAGGTTGTGATGATGAATGCATGTGCAAAGTTGGTTGAATGATTATGAAGCATGTGGCTGATTTATGAAGGGAATGCATGTGGATTAAAGTGGAATGACAGCTAGGTTAAATGATGAATGCATGTGCAAAGTTGGTTGAATGATTATGAAGCATGTGGGTGGAAATGCATGTGAATGATGGCAGATTGTGTATGTGAATGATTAGGTTGGAAATGCATGGTTATGGTTATGATAAGTGATAAGTGGTGATGATAAGTAATGATAAGTGATTATGATAAGTGATAAGTGGTGATGATAAGTAATGATATGTGGGAGTGTGGCTGAAATGAAGGAATGGAATGTTGGAATGTTATGCACGGCTAAGGATATAGGAAAGGTTTAAATGTCCTAAAACTAAAGGGAACAAGGTTCCAACACTTTGGTCTTCAATTAGGTCTTCAATTTCGTCCAACACTTTGGCTCCAAGCATAGGCTATCCATCCTTAGCCCAAAAGTGCTCCAAAAGTCTCCAAAATGCATCTTTTTGCTCCTTTAGCCCTTTGGACCTACAAACACACGAAAATAGCTTAAAGTACTAAAATAACTAAAGAAACATAACGTAAATGCACGAGAACAAGCCATTTAAGTCGCATGAATATGCTCCTATCAGTGAACAATGATCAGAGGGTCGTTAGGAGTTTTGGCTTACGAATGCGGCAACATGTGACAGTTGACTTTGATATCTGGCAAAAGAGATTAATGAAGGGTTGCGTCTTATCTGGATCAGTTGCAAGAACAACTACGAGACGCTTTAAAGGATAAGAAATTTATGCTCGTCTTGGATGATGTGTGGAACGAAGATCGTATCAAATGGAGTGAGTTGAGATAGTTGTTATATAGAGGGGGCCAAGATAGGATCTAAGATTTTGGTGACAACACGTAATATCTCAATTGCTTCAATCATCGGCACGGTTGGAACATGCATAAATTTAGAAGTTCTCTCTTTTCAGGATTTTTTGTCTTTGTTTATAAAGTGTGCATTTGAAGAAGGACAAGAAAGACAACATCCAAGCCTATATGAAATGGGAAAAGATAATGCAAGAAAGTGCGGAGGGGTTCCCTTAGCTGTGAAAATATTAGGGAGTCAGTTTTACTCAAAGACTAATGAGCGTCAGTGGAAATTGATTAGAGATTCTGAGATATGGGAAATTGAACGACAGGGAGCTAGTCACATTCTACCTGCTTTGAGACTGAGTTATAATCAATTGCCCTCTCATTTGAAGCAGTTGTAAGACTCATATTGAGTTGTCAATTATTATGAATCGAATAACTTAAAAGGCAAATAACTTGATCTTCAAGATATTTAACTTTTAACATGATTCAAAATTGGTTAGCAAGAATCATGGAATCAAGATATATTTAGTTGGTTAATTGAAACACTAATTAAGTAAGACATATTGTACTTGCCTTGGTTGGACAACATTAAGATTAAATGGTGATTTGGTGTATCCTCCAATGACTATAATAGATGGGATTGGAGGAACCCTAATCACTCTATTAAGAGCGTCCATACTTTCACAAAATACACGTTCCATTCTAAGCAAACCATATTATTGCTAGAACACTTCTGCTTGTTGAAAGTAGAAGACTCTTTTGTCATCTGTAAGAGTCATGTCTTCCGTATTCCAAAGATAAGTAAATTGAAATGGATTTATTGTAATTTTTGTTTATCAAATCTGTGATTCTAATGTCTTATTGTTGTTCGTATGATTTCATAAATATCTTACAGCAGTGCATTGCTTGCTGTTCTATTTTTTAGAAGAAATATGTTCAGTTTGATGGTTCATCATTGATAAATCATTGGATGGCACATGGAATCCTTGAATATAGTTGTATAAATACTGATGAATCCTTCCTCAGCACTTGCATTTCAATATTCAAATATCTGCGGTGGCTTAGATTAGTCAATGCATCTTGGGAATTGTTGCCGAGTTCCACTGGTTCTTTGAAGCATTTAAGAAGCCTGGACTTGACTGAAAACGAAAAAAAAATCACCGAACTACCCAATTCAATAGGTAAGCTGTAGAGCTTGCAAACTTTGACTCTTGCTAGATGCGCGAATCTTGAAGAGTTGCCTATAAACATGAGCAAGTTGATCAGCCTTAAATGTTCAAGTAAACATTCCATAGCGTAAATGTTCTACCTCATAGAAGAAGTAAGATATAGCCTAGCTATGTATATATATTGCTCCTTAAAATGTTTTAACTGAGTAAAGTCTTTTTATTTCCATCTCATCGTCACATCATTTAGTAGTTTATCTTGAATTATATTAGTTTTATTCAAGACCATTAGGTGCAAAAGGATTCAAGAGCTAATATAGAGTGTAAAAATGTTTGTCAAAATATTTGTCCCTAATCCTATTTCATATATTATAATATATATATATATATATATATATATATGTGTGTGTGTGTGTGTGTGTGTGTGTGTGTATGTGTGTGTGTCTGTATGTATGGAATAGGATCAAGGGACAAACATTTTGACAAAGATTTTTACTCTTTGGTAACCTTTGGATCTTATAATATCCAAAGGTTTGATTAAGAGTTATGTGAAGGATTTTAGACATTAAATGACTTGAATGGTGATTTGGATTATAACTTATAAGAAAAATACTAATTAAAAAGAAAAATCTATTGAAATCTAATTGAATTAAAAGAAAAACAAAACCTTGAAAATAATTTAACCTCCATCTTCCCCCTTGTTTGCCAATGAGGTTTGCAAATCCATGCCTTGGGTGTAATATCTCTTTTTTTTTTTTTTTTTTTTTTTTTTTTTTTTTGGTATCAACCCTTCTTGCCTTTATCAAACAATGAACATTAATGAATAATAAAACATGATATTAGGCAAAGAGAGAGTTTTGCTTAAGAAAATAAATTAGGGTTTTGTTTTGAGAAGGTTTAAGCGCCCTAATTCTAGGCTAGCGACTCAATCGCTTTGTCACCTCTATAGCAAAACCCTATCAACCCAAGATCCAAGAATGAAGATTTAGGATTTAGGCGTTCTTCAACGTTGGTTTTGTGTTTTTTTTTTTTTTTTTAATAAGAGTTTAACCTTCTTTTTTAAATTTTTTTTGTCAATTCTATTCTATTCTTTTATATATTTCTTTTTAATGGACCCTATTAATTATAATCCAAATCCCCATTCAAGTTATTTAATGTTTAGAAAATTCTCCACATAACTCTTAATAAAGACAATTGGATGTTATAAGATTCAAATGTTACGAAAGAGTGTAAAAATATTTGGCAAACTCTTTGTCCCTTGATCCTAACCCTTATTATATATATATACACACACACACATAGGAATAGGATCTAGAGACACACGCTTTTAACACACATTTTTGTAGAGTTCACTTCATAATGTGTTTCAACAATCTAACCATTTATCTTTTACGTTTTACCGATGTCTACAACAAATCATCATCAAAAAGTTAGGTGAACTCATAATGTGCTTGGCCATTAGACTACTTATCATAAGGAAGCATCATCATCAGTATTCATACTATCTCAATTCCCCTGCACTCACCTCATCAAGAAAGAAAGAACGAACGAAAGTAAGAAAGAAAGAAGATGGCTAACCAGGCATTTCCGTTAGCAAGCAGACTCATTGAAAAGCTCGCCTCCATTGCTTCTGAGGAGATTTGCTTGGCGTGGGGTGTTAAAGTGGATCTGCAGAACCTTGGACGCACTATGTCCACAATCAGAGACGTGCTCCTGGATGCCGAAGAGAAGCAAGCACGTAACAATGACCTACGCAGTTGGCTACGACAACTTAAAGATGTGTTCCTTGATGCTGAGGATCTGTTGGACGAGTTTGAGTGTGAAGCTTTGCGAAGGCAAGTGGTTCGTGGCAGTGGCACAACTAGAAAGGTAAGCCGTTTCTTTTCCCGCTCTAATCCAGCTGCATTCCGCTTACGAGTAGGCCATGGAATTAATGACATAAGAGAGAGGTTACACAAGCTTAAAGATGATAAGAATTTTGCTGATCTTCGCACTGTTCATCATCATCCTCGTCTAGGTGATCATATGAAGGAGAACATGAATACAACCCACTCCTTTGTTCGTGCTTCGGAGGTTATTGGTAGAGAAACAGAAAAAAATAAAATTGTTGATCTTCTAATGATACAAGGTGGGGATAATGGGAATGTTTCTGTTATTCCTATAGTGGGATTAGGAGGTTTAGGGAAGACCACCCTTGCCCAGTCGGTGTACAATGATCAGAGAGTTGTTGCGAGTTTTGACTTAAGAATGTGGCAGCATGTGTCAGTGGACTTTGATGTTACTAGATTGATAAAAGAGATCCTTGGCTCTGCATTAGGTACAAAGATCAGTGAAGGGTTGTCTCTGGATCAGTTGCAAGCACAACTACGAGACGCTTTAAAGGATAAGAAATTTCTACTTGTCTTGGATGATGTATGGAATGAAGATCGTATCAAATGGAGCAAGTTGAGAGATTTGTTGATAGAGGGGGCCAAGGTGGGAACTAAGATTTTGGTGACGACACGGAATATCTCAGTTGCTTCAATCATGGGGGCGGTTGGAAACATAAATTTGGACGTTCTCTCTTTTGAGGATTGTTTGTCTTTGTTTGTAAAGTGTGCATTTAAAGAAGGACAAGAAAGGCAGCATCCAAGCCTCTATGAAATGGGAAAAGATATTGTAAGAAAGTGCGGAGGGGTTCCCTTAGCTGTGAAAACCTTAGGGAGTCAACTTTACTCAAAGACTGATGAGCGTCAATGGAAATTGATTAGAGATTCTGAGATATGGGAATTAGAACGAGATGGAGCTGGTCACATTCTACCTGCTTTGAGACTGAGTTATAATCAATTGCCATCTCACTTGAAGCAATGCCTTGTTTGCTGTTCAATTCTTCCAACGAATTACATTAGATTTTATAGCGGCCAATTGATCAATCATTGGATGGCACATGGAATCCTTGAATCTCGTGATCATGGGAATATGGAGTGGGAAGATGTTGGTGAGTTATATTTCAAAGAGTTATGGGAGAGATCTTTCTTTCAAAATGTTAAAGATTACACTTTCGGCTATGGGTTTGATATGCATGATCTCATCAAGGACCTTGTCCGATCAGTCGTACAAGGTGAGAGTTTGGTTGTAGACTCTACAGGGACCAAAGGCATCTCTGAAAATGTTAGATATCTAACAATTATGAAAAGTGGCCAAAATGTTTCAACAACCTTGCAAAAGTTGAATAAAGTGCGGACTATATCAGTAGAGAGTTGTGAAAATATTGATCAATCCTTCCTCAGCACTTGCATATCAAGATTCAAATATCTGCGACTGCTTAAGTTAACCAATGCATCTTGGGAATTGTTGCCCAGTTCCATTGTTTCTTTGAAGCATTTGAGAAGCCTAGACTTGACTGCAAATGAAAGAATCACCGCACTACCCAATTCAATTTGTAAGCTGCAGAGCTTGCAATCTCTGAATCTCTTTGGATGCGTGAATCTTGAAGAGTTCCCTAGAGACATGAGAAACTTGATCAGCCTCAGATGGCTTGAATTAACCACAAAACAATCAAGGTTTCCAGAGAATGGAGTGGGAAGCTTGACATCACTTCGATTTCTTTCTATTTGGGAGTGCAGTAATCTAATGTGTTTGCCGCGTGATACGAGCTATCTTGCGTCATTACGCACTCTGATCATAGGCAATTGCAAACAACTTGATTTGGTGATGGAAAACTATCAGGTAATTCCACTAAGGCTCCAAAAGTTGGGGATTATAGGAGTACCACGAATGGTGGCATTGCCTGAATGGTTTCAAGGAGCCACAAACACACTACAAGTCTTGGTTATAGAAGATTGTGAGAACTTGGAGGCATTACCTGGGTGGCTGACGAGTTTCACATCGCTTCGCAGGCTTATCCTCAACTCATGTCCCAAACTGTTGTCTTTGCCAGAGGAGATGCATCGCCTCACTGCCTTAACAGATGTTTGGATTGTAGATTGCCATGATTTGGAGAGGAGATGTCAGCGCAACACAGGAGAAGATTGGCCAAAGATTTCTCATGTTCCAAATGTTTATTTTGAATAGAATCATGGGCGCCGTCTTTAATGCCGGCAGCCTCTCAGTGTCTCTGTTTGTGCTTTTCTTGTGTTTGAGCTGCTTGTATTTTGTACCAGCCAATGTAAATTGTCATGTTGATTTATTACAACGTTACTTCATTTTAATTTATTGTAATATTACTCAGTTTTAATCAAAGTCCCTCCTTATCAGTCATACTGGAATCACCCTCTTGATCGCATAAAACAATCGGCCAAAAGAAGCATCGGCTTGGCGTGAACCTGAACAGGGGCAAGTTATGCACCATCCAGCTACTTATCTGACATTACTACATGAACAAATTATGTTGGAGTGACCCTCCTAAAGACAAGAATCGGATACTTTTGAACGAGGAATGGTTACATCTGAGCATAACGAAGAACACGCAAGGTGTTGAAGGTTTATGATATATCAGCCACGGTTCCTTCTGCGGTTGATGATTGTGCTTGTTTGTTTATTAGAAATTCAAATTTGTTAGAAGTTGTACTCTCCAATGGGTAAACCGCCGATTACCCCACCACCCCCACCCGCCAACCTGCACCCCTGAACTATTTTTCTTGCCCATCTATCCCTTTAACTAGTACAAGACAACCAAATAACTCCCTACCTCTAGATTTAAGAAAATTTCATCAAATTTTCTGTTAAGTGGTGTCATGTGAGAGGCACAAGACACATTTTCGAGCGTAAACCTGTCCTTGATCTATCTCCTTCATCTGCTTTCCCTTCGTGTAAAAGTCGAATTAGGGCAACAATTAACAGAACGGTTTCAAGGAGCCACAAACACACTACAAGTCTTGTCTATTTTAGATTGTGAGAAGCGGCATTACCTGGTGGTTGACGAGTTTCACATCGCTTAAAATGCTTGGCCTCAGGTCATGTCCCAAACTGTTGTCTTTGCCAGAGGAGATGGCACCGCCTCACTGCCTTAACAAAACCTAGAATTATAAAGTGTCCTGATCTGGAGAGGAGATGCCAGCGCGACACAGGAGAAGATTGGCCAAAGATTTCTCATGTTCCAAATGTTTATTTTGAATAGAACAGGGTGAGGGTCAGCTAATGAAATGGACAAATTTGCCGAATCCCCATATCAAAGAAACATTTCCATTCCGAAGTGGTAAAGTTGCTCAAGAAACGTGGTCTTAAGCGACCGATAAACCGGGGAATATGGTCCTTGAAGCTCTCAATCATAAGGGAAAAATGAAAGCAAATCTCACAGCACAACAATCAGGGATAACATTGGAGTAAATACAAATCAAACTGTATTTACGTATCCAATACACGGTAATAGTTCTTGCTTTGAGTCAAATATTGGGTCAGGGAGTTGATGATCACCATCTCAAGCAAGAATACGAAAACCTTCACACCTTCTACAACTTCGGCAAATCCAACCAACTCCACCACCGGAGACAATCAAAGGATGTCAGTTTTTGGCCTCCCTTTTTCTCCTTTTTATCCAAAGGGAAGCAAAGCGAGAAATCCAATCAACTAAAACATGGGGAAAGCAACAATTTGACAAAAGCAATACCAGCAAGTTACATCAGTAGTTTCATTAACAATAACAAGAAAAGCAAAACCCTCTCATAACCAAAATACAAAACTGCCAGATCTTTAGGCCATGTAATAATGAAAATGAAATGAGAATTCATACCTGAGAAAACTGGATTTGGCTACTTGGAAGAGAGCAGGGACTTCATTAGTGTCGTGATTATTCTTATATGCAGAGAAAAAAAAGAGGGCACAAATGTAAAATACATTTCAACGTTAAACACGAAATTCGAAAGTTAAATGGCAAAATAGCATTTCATTATGGTCAAGCTCGGATAGGGGGGAAATCTCTTGTTAGGACTCCCAAAGACAAGAACACAAGGCTAAATTGTCGTTGTGCTGTTAGTCCTACCATGCACAGCTTAAAACTCTTGAGGATATTTCTAAAATAAAATAAAATATCTTCCATATAGCTGGATTCTATGGCTTCTCTTCGTCATCCCATGGCCCATGACGAGAAAAAGGGGGTGGAGGTGGATCAACGCTCAAGGTGCCCTCCAATACTTTAACCACCTCTCTCATTGGAGGTCTTCTACGTTCATCAATTTGGATACACCAAAATGCAATTCTTAAAGCACGTTCCAGCTCTTGTGGAATAAACCCGCCAATTATTTTCCTGTCCACTACATTCTCTGGATGCCCTTGCAGCCACTCTTCGTATGCCCACTCACAAAGATCCCCAACTCGACAGCCACTTACTAATTCTAACACCATCTTACCAAAGTCCTCCACATCTCTCTCTGCAGATGAGCACGAAGAGCATGATACCTCGCTGACTATGTTCCCAAGTCCAAATTCAGTCACCTTGGCCTCTAAATTTTCATCCAGTACAACATTCTCACATTTCAAATTCCCATGGCTCATAAATTCCCTACAGCTTGTGTGTAGATAACAGACTGCCCTTGCGACACTTATGCATGTATCAAATCTCTTCCCCCAAGTCAGCTTCTTACACAATTTAAGATCTTCTATATACTTCTCCAGAGAACCATTCTTGACATATTCATAGACCAGAAATTTGTGATCTACCTCACAACAGTAGCCCTGCAGCTTCACAAGGCTTTTGTGATGAATGTTACCTATCTTTGTAACTACACCCCGGTATTTTCTTTCTTCTACGCTTGCATCCACATCTTTGATAGCAACTGGTTTTCTATTTGGAAGAACGCCTTTGAACATCTTTGGCCCAATCTGATATTTGAAGTTCTCTGTAAGCTCCTCTATTTCAGAGAACGATAACACTATCAAACCATTTGAGTTTAGGCTGGTATGAGCAAAAGCAGCTTTCTTCCTAACCGAAATTCTTCTTCTGTAGAACCAGAAACCAAGTGCCAGTTGAACTATAATAAATACAACGAACATTCCTGCCGCTGCTCCAATTAGGCAAGGGAAACAAAACTTATGAGACCGATTGAGTGAAGGAGGGGAAGACAATGAGAGATTGGGATTTACAGCAAATGGATCAGCACACATCTTCGCATAAGATACAGAACTCAGTGAGGGGTCTGAATAGCCAGTAACATACGGTGTTCTCTTAATTAAGCATCGTGCAGTTCCATCATTCGAAAATGTTGCAGCGGTACAAGTCAGGTCATTCTGACACAAACTTTTGCATTCCTCTAGACTAACTTTGGCAACTACATCATCAGTTGGTGGGTACATTCCATGTAGGAAAGTATGCTTATAATGAAGCATGTTGGAACCAGAAGAACAGCGATTATTTGGAATAAAACATCTGGAAGTGGACTCATTTGTTTGCTGCTTAAACGGACATTCACAATCAGGCAACCCAGATTCATTGAAGACACAGATACCACGTTGGCCACAGGTTGCAAAGACATTACACTGGTTCTCAACAGCCTGCCAGACTGATCTCCATGACTTTGAATCTTCTACCCATGAGTATAATCGGAGATTACCATCAACATCTAGCCTAAGAAACCTGTAATTTATGGAGTCATCGTGATCTTGACCGTACAGTGACCACACAGGTTTCAAGTTTTGGTCACGGAGTTGTAGGGTTCCATCAGAAGTGATGAAAGCACTGAGGTTTGAACTAGAAAGGCTTCCACTTGTCCAGTAGGTGACATGGCTTTCCCATTGAAGTTGCAACTGACTAGAAGCACTCATAAAAAGAGTGTAGTAACTGGACACACAATTCTTGCTTGCAGCTCGAAGTGTTTGCAATGTAGAGAAGCTCTGTCCAGGAAGAAGTATGTCAGATGGAGTATCAAAACTTTGCCAAACAATATGTTTCTCTTGATTCAATAGAACAAGATTTCCATTGTCATTAAGAGCAGCAGAAACAACTGATAACTGCCTTGTTTTACTGGTCCATGCAGTGACTCTCTTCAAGGAATCGAATAAAACTAGTTCGCCATCCTGGGTCAGCTGGGCATAAGAATTGTTACCAACAATAAGATCAGCTGCAGCACTCCATACCAAAAGTTGTTGGTCAAGAGGAAATGATTTCGTAATGAGACGGATCCCGAAACTATAGTTTGGCTGGTCTGAACGGTTAAAAAATCCAAATGCAAAATCACCATTTGGAGAGATCCATACGTTTTTATCAGCTACAGAAATTTTGGAACCCAAGGGAATATCCGAAGTCGCAAGAGTATTTAACGGGAATGCAACAAAGATACAAAGCAGGAGACGCGATTTATGGAGATGCTCGACCAGTTCAGGCATATCTGAATATGCTTATAGATCCTACAAAAACAAATAATCAGTACTATGACCTCCTTTTAAGTGTAAATCATGTTTGCGTATCAAAGTTAATGAATTTCATTAGGAAAAAAAGCCCACTGAAAAGTAAAAAAGGCAAGAATCAAGGCAACTCATAGCCCAAATAAAAAATAAATAAAAACAAACAAACAAATATGAAAAAACACTGTTTTTAGGCCAACAGAAAATTGAAGTTCCAAAAAATTTACGATAAACTCAAGGAAATAACAGTCAACATAAATTTTCATACAAGTCAAGAAGGAATGCATGCAATATTCAGAACTTGGTACCTGAAAAGGCGGTTAAAACCCCAGAAATTTAACAAGCCGGTGGAATGCCCCCATGACCATCTCAGAAGCAACCCATTATATATATTTGGAACACTGTAAAATTGTCATGTGAGCGTTCAGAATTTTGAATAATCAAACAGAGACTGACTGACCGAATGAGGCAGCAAGTGACAAAAAAAGGAGCTGTAAAGGGCGTAAAAAGGATTATAAAGTGGGTGTTGAATAGACTCAAGTGGATGCATGGGACCCAATGGGGTACAGTTTTGACTGTTTAGGCAAGGCAATCACTTTCAGGGGCTTGAAAGTTCAAACACTCTGGACAACGATATTGCAGGCAAATCATTATTGAAGTTTAATAGCTGCTAAATATATAGAAAATCTACAAAATCACAAAATAAACAAGAAACTGGAACACCCCATTATTGGAAAAAGCTTCTTTTTTGGATTAAAACCATAGATTGGCAGCAGCTTGAGCAAACAGGAAATGACTTTTTTTCTCATTTACACTATGAATTAGTGACATTTGAATACAAGCGATGTTACTACTTTAATTTACACCAGGGGCGGTCCGGGATGGAGGAGAACCCGGGACGCAGTGGTTGAAGACGAACGCCCTAACCACTAGGGCAATCAAACCCTTTCTGAATTAGTGAGATAAGAAAATGTAATAAAAATTGAAACTTTAAGCATTGACAGCGAGTACCACACTACTAACCAGTTTGTCAAATTTGCTTTCCTCCTTCTGCTTTTTCTTAAGGCTTTTCAAGAGATGCTTTTCCTTCCTGAAAAAAAAAAAACAGATATATAAGCAGAGGATAAAAGAGAACTAGAAGTGGTGGTTCATATATCAACTCAACAAACGCAACACTTCCAGTAGAACCTAAATTATAAAACCCTAATTCGAAACTCGCAAATCAAATTCCCAACACTGGACCATAAAAAAATGTAAATAAAATAAAAGCACAAAATTGAGAGTCTGTAAAGAGAAGCGGCGGCACCAGAAAAAGTGAAGAGAATAAGAACTTACCGAAGAAATGTGAGGCGAATGGGCGAAGGCTAAAGAGAAACGGCGGCACGAGCGAGAAAAGTCGGGCGGGCTGGGGTTTTGAAATGGAGAGGGGTTTGGAAGAAGCTGCTTATTGAAAAAGTGATTCTACAGAAGCAATGCGAGAGAAAGTGGAAGAGAGAGTGGGGCTTAGAGGGGCTGTTAAACGTTAGTGCAGCCGGAGACTGAGAAATAGTCGCCGGAGGAGGAGTGACTATATCGGTAAACACTGACAGTGCATTGAGCGGTAATGAGAGAGTGAGAAAAAGATTTTGCTGCTACGACTGTACCCTTCTTTATATTATTTCTTTTCCTTTTTATTACAAGGTTAATATTTTTTTTCCTTTTGCACCCTTGTTTTTATTTATTTATATTTTTCTTTGATTAATTAGAAAAGAAATTAAATTTTTTGTTTTAACAAACGATATTAATATACTAGTAAGATAGGAGTAGCTTTCGTCTCACAATAAATTAACAATGATGTGTTTCAAAATCGTCTTGCTAGAACTTAACCTAAAACCTCTTATTTACATGTGAAGAATTAAATGGCAAGAAATTAAATATTTATGTAAAATACTTTTCACATGCTGCACATTTTTTTTTTTAAGAATTTATCACAAATGATTTCTGAAATTGACACTCATTCTCAGTTTGAATTATGCTTCCTAAACAAGGTTGCTTTCCTTTTACACCAAATATCTTCCCAAAAGTCGATTCAGCTATCTCAAATCCAAGCTTCCTCTTTGTTCCTAAGTTGATCTCAAGCTCAGCTTAAGGGGGTGTATTCAGACATCTAAACCAGTCAATAGATTGTTATAACAGTAAATAGTTAATTGTGGTAATTGTGTAATTAGTTGTTGAAGATAAGGGCACTGATGTAATGAGCCTGTGGCTATATATATACCTGTGTACTGTCATAATTGTTCAACCAATAAAATATCTTTTCAACAAAAAGAACTACAGTTTCTGTAACCTCAACAAGAAAGAAAGAAACAAAGAAAGAAGATGACCGAGCTTGCTTTTCCGTTGGCGGCCAAACTCATTGAAAGGCTCAGCTCCATTGCTTCTGAGGAGATTTGCTTGGCGTGGGGTGTTAAAGCAGATCTGCAAAAACTTCGACGCACCATGTCCACAATCAAAGACGTGCTATTGGATGCCGAAGAGAAGCAAGCAGGTAACGGTGACCTAAGCAGTTGGCTACGAGAACTTAAAGATGTGTTCCTTGATGCGGAGGATCTGTTGAACGAGTTTGAGTGCGAAGCTTTGCGAAGGGAAGTGCGTGGCAGTGGCATAACTAGAAAGGTACGCCGTTTCTTTTCCCGCTCTAATCCAGTTGCATTCGACTTGCGAGTAGGTCATGGAATTAAGGACATAAGAGCGAGGTTACAAGAGCTTAAAGAAGATAAGAATTTTGGTGATCTTCGACCTTGTCATCATCACCCACATCTCGGTGATCATCTGAGGGAGAATAGGAATACGACCCACTCATTTGTCCGTGCCTCGGAGGTTATTGGTAGAGACACGGAGAAAAATACAATTGTAGATCTTCTAATGCAACAAGGCGATGATCATCAAGGTGGGGATAATGGGAATGTATCTGTTATTCCTACGGTGGGATTTGGAGGTTTAGGGAAGACCACCCTTGCCCAGTCGGTGTACAATGATCAGAGAGTTGTTGGGAGTTTTGACTTAAGAATGTGGCAGCATGTGTCAGTGAACTTTGATCTTACTAGATTGACAAAAGAGATCCTTGGCTCTGCATTAGGTACACAGATCAGTGAAGGGTTATCTCTGGATCAGTTGCAAGCACAACTACGAGATGCTTTAAAGGATAAAAAATTTCTGCTTGTCCTGGATGATGTGTGGAACGCGGATCGTATCAAATGGAGCGAGTTGAGAGATTTGTTGGTAGAGGGGGCCAAGATAGGATCTAAGATTTTGGTGACAACACGGAATATCTCAGTTGCTTCAATCATGGGCACAGTTGGAACCTGCATAAACTTAGAAGGTCTCTCTTTTGAGGATTGTATGAAGTTGTTTGTAAAGTGTGCATTTGACGAAGGACAAGAAAGACAACATCCAAGCCTCTATGAAATGGGAAAAGATATTGTAAGCAAGTGCGGAGGGGTTCCCTTAGCTGTGAAAACATTAGGGAGTCAACTTTACTCAAAGACTGATGAGCGTCAATGGAAGTTGATTAGAGATTCGGAGATTTGGGAATTAGAACGAGGGGGAGATTGTCACATTCTACCTGCTTTGAGACTGAGTTATACTCAATTGCCCCCTCATTTGAAGCATTGCCTTGTTTGCTGTTCAACTCTTCCAAAGAATTACACTAAATTTGATAGCAGGGAATTAATCAATCATTGGATGGCACATGGAATCCTTGAATCTCGTGAACATGGGGATATGGAGTTGGAAGATGTTGGTGAGCTATATTTCAAAGTAGTTATGGGACAGATCTTTCTTTCAAAATGTTAAGGATTCCTGTTTCTTCTATGAGTTTGATATGCATGATCTCATCCATGACCTTGTACAATCAGTCGGACAAGGTGAGAGTTTGATAGTAGACTCTGCAAAGACGAAAGGCATCTCTAAAAATGTTAGACATCTAACAATTTTGAAAAGTGGCCAAAATATTTCAACAACCTTGCAAAAGTTGAGTAAAGTGCGGACTATTGGAGTAGAGAGTTATGAAAATATTGATGAATCCTTCCTCAGCACTTGCATTTCAAGATTCAAATATCTGCGGTGCCTTGGATTAGTCAATGCATCTTGGGAATTGTTGCCGAGTTCCATTGGTTCTTTGAAGCATTTGAGAAGCCTGAACTTGGCTGGAAATGAAAGAATCACCGCACTACCCAATTCAATCTGTAAGCTGCAGAGCTTGCAAGCTCTGACTCTCGGTAGATGCGTGAATCTTGAAGAGTTGCCTGGAGACGTGAGCAAGTTGATCAGCCTTAGATGCCTCGAATTTACCATAAAACAATCAAGTTTTCCAGAGAATGGAGTGGGATGCTTGCCATCACTTCGATATCTTTGTATTCAGGAGTGTAGTAATCTAACGTGTTTGCCGCATGATACGAGTTATCTTGAGTCATTACGCACTCTGATCATAGCCAATTGCAAACAACTTGGTTTGGTGATGGAAAACTATCAAGGAATTCAACTGAGGCTCCAAAAATTGTGGATTGTAGGAGTACCACGAATGGTGGCATTGCCTGAATGGTTTCAAGGAGCCACAAACACACTACAAGACTTGGGTATAGAAGAATGTGAGAACTTGGAGGCATTACCTGGGTGGTTGACGAGTTTCACATCGCTTAGAAGGCTTATGCTCGAATCATGTCCCAAACTGTTGTCTTTGCCAGAGGAGATGCACCGCCTCACTGCCTTAACAGAACTTAGAATCACAAAGTGTCCTGATCTGGAGAGGAGATGCCAGCGCAACACAGGAGAAGATTGGCCAAAGATTTCTCATGTTCCAAATGTTTACTTTGAATAGAAACAGGGCTGCCGTCTTCCAAAGCCGCTGCCCCTTATTTTCTCTGTTTGTATTTGTTTCATTGTCCGATCTTTTGTTGTTTCTCAATTGCTTGTATTTTGTTCCGGCTGATGTAAATTGTCATGTTCATGTATTGTAATATTACTTCATTTTAATCAACCTTCTATTACATCAAACTAGTTGTGCGTGTAGTTGACTATTTTGCTTGCTTATTGTCTCCCGGAAACTCAAGTTTTTTAGAAGCGGTATTTTCCGATCTAGTAATTCCGACGGTTGGCGATTTCACCATCATCAAACTAGGTAGAACTGTCGGAGGAATTCAGCGTTTAATGAGGCACATACAGAGCCGTTCCATTGTTACAACTAGCAGTTAAAGCTTGGCCATGGCAGACGGGGCTTCCCTGTTAGATTTCGGCTAACCATACGACACAAGCTGACCACAAGCTTTAATTAAGCAGATCGAAAGCTTCACTAAACAATAATCAACTTCTTGATTTTCAAGCCCTGAAGACTTGCACAGAGTGAAAAGTTTGTTGCTTGTCATTCAAGTAAAAGATGCAATGCTCCATACAATCTTTAAGGCAAAACCCAATTCTCAGAAGCACAAAGGAAAAAGGAAAATGCAGCTGGAAATGGAATGAACTAATCCCCAATGCGATGCAGCAACTCAGTCGGAAGCCTTATAAATACTAGGTCCAGCTGACAAGAGAATTACCATACATTAAGGAATCTGGGGAAAAAAAGCTGCATTAGGTCACATCAACTCGTGTTCCTGTCACCACATATTTAGCATGGATCTGAAAGTAACCATCAAGGTTGTGTACAGTCCCATCTGCACAAGTTTACAGAACCCAGGAAAAAACTAAATCCGCCCCTCACGGAACTATCACACAGGCTGCTAGTCACCCCTTAACTATTTTTCTTGCCCATCTATCCCTTTAACTAGTACAAGACAACCAAATAACTCCCTACCTTTATATTTAAGAAAATTTCATCAAACTTTCTGTTAAGTGGTGTCATGTGAGAGGCGCGAGACACATTTTCAAGCGCAAACCTGTCTTTGATCTATCTCCTCCGTCTGCTTTCCCTTCATGTAAAAATCAAATTAGGGCAAACAACAGAATGGTTTCAAGGAGCCACAACACATAAAAAGAGTGTAGTAACTGGACACACAATTCTTGCTTGCAGCTCCAAGTGTTTGCAATGTAGAGAAGCTCTGTCCAGGAAGAAGTATGTCGGATGGAGTATCAAAACTTTGCCAAACAATATGTTTCTCTTGATTCAATAGAACAAGATTTCCATTGTCATTAAGAGCAGCAGAAACAACTGATAACTGCCTTGTTTTACTGGTCCATGCAGTGACACTCTTCAAGGAATCGAATAAAACTAGTTCGCCATCCTGGGTCAGCTGGGCATAAGAATTGTTACCAACAATAAGATCAGCTGCAGCACTCCATACCAAAAATTGTTGGTCAAGAGGAAATGATTTCGAAATGAGACGGATCCCGAAACTATAGTTTGGCTGGTCCGAACGGTTAAAAAATCCAAATGCAAAATCACCATTTGGAGAGATCCATATGTTTTTATCAGCTACAGAAATTTTGGAACCCAAGGGAATATCCGAAGTCGCAAGAGTATTTAACAGGAATGCAACAAAGATACAAAGCAGGAGACGCGATTTACGGAGATGCTCGACCAGTTCAGGCATATCTGAATATGCTTATAGATCCTACAAAAACAAATAATCAGTACTATGACCTCCTTTTAAGTGTAAATCATGTTTGCGTATCAAAGTTAATGAATAAAAAAGCCCACTGAAAAGTAAAAAAGGCAAGAATCAAGGCAACTCATAGCCCAAATAAAAAATAAATAAAAACAAACAAACAAATATGAAAAAACACAGTTTTTACGCCAACAGCAAATTGAAGTTCCAAAAAATTTACGATAAACTCAAGGAAATAACAGTCAACATAAATTTTCATACAAGTCAAGAAGGAATGCATGCAATATTCAGAACTTGGTACCTGAAAAGGCAGTTAAAACCCCAGAAATTTAACAAGCCGGTGGAATGCCCCCATGACCATCTCAGAAGCAACCCATTATATATATTTGGAACACTGTAAAATTGTCATGTGAGCGTTCAGAATTTTGAATAATCAAACAGAGATTGACTGACCGAATGAGGCAGCAAGTGACAAAAAAAGGAGCTGTAAAGGGCGTAAAAAGGGATTATAAAGTGGTGTTGAATAGACTCAAGTGGATGCATGGGACCCAATGGGGTACAGTTTTGACTGTTTAGGCAAGGCAATCACTTTCAGGGGCTTGAAGGTTCAAACACTCTGGACAACCATATTGCAGGCAAATCATTATTGAAGTTTAATAGCTGATAAATATATAGAAAATCTACAAAGTCACAAAATAAACAAGAAACTGGAACACCCCATTATTGGAAAAAACTTCTTTTTTTGGATTAAAACCATACATTACAAACCCTAATTCGAAACCCGCAAATCAAATTCCCAACTTAAACAACCACATTGGACCATAAAAAAAATGTAAAAAATAAAAAGCACAAAATTGAGAGTCTGTAAAGAGAACCTGCGGCACCAGAAAAAGTGAAGAGAACAAGAACTTACCGAAGAAATGTGAGGCGAATGGGCGAAGGCTAAAGAGAAACGGCGGCACGAGCGAGAAAAGTCGGGCGGGCCGGGGTTTTGAAATGGAGAGGGGTTGGGAAGAAGCTGCTTATTGAAAAAGTGGTTCTACAGAAGCAATGTGAGAGAAAGTGGAAGAGAGAGTGGGGGTTCGAGAGGCGTTAAACGTTAGTGCAGCCGGAGACGGCGAGAAATAGTCGCCGGAGGAGAAGGAGTGACCACATGGTAAACACTGACTGGACTCAATTGAATTGAGCGGTGACTGGACTCATTAAGTCATGGCCTTCTTGACAAACTCAAAGCAGCAGCAGCTGCAACTGCGCATGCTAGGACTAACTTAGCTCCGAAACTCTTCTCAATCAAGACTTGAATAACAGTGAGCATCCTAGAGTGACGATGACCCATAGGATAATGATTCATAGCCCTCCCTAGAGGTGTCAGTCTTCCATCTTTGTCAAGTGCTTGAAGACTCTTCAAGCAATGCTCTTCTTTATCCAAGGCATTACCATCCAAATGAGGTGGAAGAGGAAAATTGGATACCTGGATGCCCAAAAAAAGGTCATACGCTTAATCTTCTCATAATGCTTAGTATGTTTGGGTGGAGAAATTTAAGATTACTAAGCAATTTAAAAATGACGGAAATTGAAATGACGAGATTTTATTTTTTAGAATTTGTAAATTGTCTTGTTTGGTCAACATAAAAAAACAATGGAATTGAATACGGAATTTGTTATTTTTAATCTCTCAATCATAGAAATTGAGAAATGACACATATTTACATGGAATTTGAACTTGGGATTTAGAGGTCCCAAATTCCAAGTTTTTTTTCCACGCGGAAATTCTAAATTTCTATGTTTATGAATCCAAACAAGAGAATTAGTGCTTGTCAATTTATAAATTATGACTTTTACCAAAATTCTATGTTTATTTCCCTCATCCAAACATAGTGTAATGGAATTCACAAAAAGTTGCGTGCTAAGTATTTGACGATTGGGGGGTTTATTAATAATTTTTAGTTTTATTGTTAATTTATTTTGTACTTAATAGTAATTATACAATAAGATAAAAATGATAATTTCCATTTAAAATTTAAGTTGGGTGTAGAGTGAGGTTATTTGAGTTTAAATAAAATTTCCCCTTATTATTTATTTTCCTTTTTATTACAAGGTTAATATATTTTTTTCCCTTTTGCAACCTTCTTTCTATTTATGTTTTTTTTTTCTTTAATTAATTAGAAAAGAAATTAAATTTCTTTATTTTTTTAACAAACGATATTATATACACTAAGGAGATGGGGTACCCTTCGTCTCATAATAAATTAGTAATAATGTGGTTCAAAATCGCCTTAAGCGAGAATCGAACATAAAACCTCTTTTAGATGTGAAGAGAAATATAACTAGACTATAGTACTAAGTGGCAATAAATTAAATATTCATGTAAAATACTTTTCACATGGTGCACAATCATTTTTTTTTATAAGAATTTATCATAAATGATTTTTGAAATTGACACTCATTCTCAGTTTGAATTATGCTTTCTAAACAAGGTTGCTTTCTTTTTATCTAAGAATTGACACTCGTTCTTAGTACTATGGTCTTGAGATATTTTTCTTCACTGGTAAGTCATAAGTGAGAGGTCTTAGGTTTGATTCATTTCAAAGGAAAATTTGAATCACACTATTATGGCTAGCCCAATGTGAAGCTTAGCTCACTCCCGCACACCTTAGTGTAGATAATATCGTCTTTTGAAAACAAATTCCAACCACTTGGTATATCGGCAGAGTTCTGTTACCGTGGCTTCTCGTTTTAATAGGATAGTGTTATCCACACTCATTTTTACTTTTTACACACTTGTCTCAACTTTTGACTGTCAGATCAAATGAATTAAAAAAGATTAACAACCAAAAATTAATAACTTCGTATGAGAAGTAAAAATGAGTGTGTAAACAATACTATTCTTTTAATAATGTAATATTATATTTTAAAAAAAAATTGCAAATAACATTATAAAACTAAAAAATCACGTGACGGTAAACACATTATCAAATCGTTACTCATATTCATTTATTATACAAGTAGGACAAGAGCTTTTGAAGAGGCCAGTTGTGCTTCCATGAAGTCAAACTTTATATGATTAAGAGTAATATACAATGGAACTAGATCCCCTCCAGATCCTATAAAACCGAGCCCACTAATCAATGCATCTGGACCATTTAAGTTTGATCTAACGGCTACAAACAAGGAGCTCCTCTAAAAGTTATAATAATCGTAGCCGTTGGATCAAATTTCAATGACTCGAATGCATTGATTAGTAGGCTTAGATTTATGGAATCTGGAGGGGATCCGGTTCCATATACAACTCTGCACCGCCATATCCCCGCAAACGATCTATTTTAAAGAACAAAAAGATAATCCTCAAAAGCTAATACCAAGATAAAAATAAGAAAAAGCCACAGAACCCCACGAGGTTGAGGTGCATGCAAAGGCAATCCATTGCTATAAGGTAACTTAGTTAATCTCCATTTCTCACTACTACAAATTATAATTTTGCCGACAAAGCAAAATGTTGTCGGCACAAGAGTCATTTCTCGACAAAAATTTTAATTTGTCGTCTGAACACTTATGCCAGAACTAATTTACAACGCCAATCTTAGCCGAGAAAATTGGAACGTTAACCGACAATCATTTTGTAGGCGTAAATTCGATGCCCTGACGAATTTTGTTTTGACGAGTAAACTCTGGTCAAAACTTTTCCCGCTATATTGAAATATTGGCCGATGATGTGAGGCAACAAAGTATTTCATCGGCAAATTGAGAAGAAAGGCAATAAAGTGTGTCATCAACAAAGTGATAATACATCTACGTGATAAGAACAAACTTATCAAATTCAAGGCATTCCTAACCTATTTTGTTGGTTCACATCCCCCAATTGCTCATGATCTCCCTCCCATATTCTTCATTCTCAGCGCACCATTTGATTTCACTTTCATAAGAATTCCTACTTACCTTGTAACACTTGGCAGGGTCTTTCCTGCTCAGAAACAATTTTGATGATCCTAAATCCCTAAGTTTATATATTAGGGCTCTCGCACTCTTAACTGACTCTCATTCACGTCTCTGCCTCTATCATCTCTCTCACTCTCATGATCATCTCCATAATTTTGCAGAAGCAGCAACCAGGCTTAACGATGAGGATATAACCAAACTATTTAATATATTGCTCAATTATAGTTTGGCTCAAGACCTTTAGGTTATCATTACTTTTTGTTCTGATTTTTTCTTGGTCAGGGCATGTTATTGGTCGGCTCTTGTAACTTAGGGTGCACTACAAATTGAAGTAAAGTTTTTTATTTGGATTTTTTATGCGTCAATTTCTTTGATTTTTATTCTTATCAAAGAATTCCAAGGCACTGCATATATGTGTTTACATTTAACTTGAACTTGGTTCTTTTTGTTTTTTTCTTGTAGATGCCAATGATTAGCCAAAACAGGAAACGACCTCTTTTGTCAACAAGAATCCCGCCTCTGCCATCCCAGTCACCGTCTACATATGTTATCGGAGCTGCTCTTCCTACTTTTCGTCAAGAGATTAATAGGCCTGATATTTTGAGGCAAACTTATCTTTCTCACACACAATCTCATTCTATGGGTGTTGCAACCAGGAGTGATGCTCCGCAGTTAGAGCCAAGAAGCATTGATCCTCCATGACCTGGGCGGGAAAACACCATACCTTTTTCACCCTGTACTCGTTCCCAGACCATAAGTGGTGTGAGTGGGACCTCACTTCATCGCACTCAATCCCAACCCGTAATTGGTACTAGGGAAACTTCTTATCAACATCGAGACGCAGTAGGATCCCAGCTTGATGATACTCATAATGATTTACCTATTGAAGCACCTAATAGAAAGAGAAGTGCAGTTCGTCATCGACACGGGAGTAAGAAATTAAAAAGACTAATGTTATATACCATGATGAACAATGTCACCAATTATCATTGCATATTAAAGCATTTTTGCTTTTCCATTGTAGGTGTTAATGGTTATGTACCAAACTTACCAGATGACAGACTAGTGCGCAGGGCATGTCGGTTGGTTAAAACCAATTGTATTGTTCGTATTACGCAAGTAAAGATCAATGTCGTTATAGACCCAGTGCATAGGCGAGCAACTGATAAAGTTGTTCATAGCTTGTTGGCATGTGATACAGGGGCCTACTGTTCGCCAACACTACCCAAGGAACATGACATATTAGAAAAGAATGTCTAACGAGTCCAAGTTAGACCTCGTGTCGAAGATCACTGTGAGTGGAACCATTAATTTAAGACATATACTTTGTAATAATCTCTATAATGACTTGAATTTTACTTTAGAAACATAATGTATTTTGTTTTAGTTTTGGTTTGAATTTTATTGGAATAAAATCACAACTTGTTTTTAATTATCTCAGGTGAACTTCGACTTGGACAAAAATATTAAAGAACCTCACCTGAGATAATTAAACAAAATTACAAGGACCAAAAAATTTCACTCGTTTTTAATTATGGGGTTTTTGAACATTAGTCCTTGCAAAAGATTAAAAAATAAATAAATAAAATAAAAACTTGGTACTAGGTTACATATTCAATTTAATCCCTTATAGTGTACTTTTACCAAAATTTATATTCAATTATTTTTGTTATTTAAATGTGTATTTTTATTTAATCTCTCCACATTAAATTTTAATTTTATTAATATGCACATATTTAGTTCTTTAATTATAAATGAACATAAATGAGAAAATATTAAAAGAAATTTGTGATACAAAAATATATAAATACACAAGTGTACAGAAATGACTATGCCAAAATACATAAAATTGACTTTTTTGTACCGAAATATTTGTACCTACATGATTGTAACAAAATATTTTATAATGAACCTAAATGTATATACCGAAATGTATTATATTGAATTAATGTACCTAAATGTCAATACCGAAATGTATGTACCAAAATGTATATATTGAAATATAGTATATTGAATTAATGTTAATCCTCAAATGTGTGTACCAAAATGCACGTACCAAAATGCATTATATTGAATAAATTTACTTACATGTTTGTATCAATGGATATACTGAAATACTCAAATGTATTAATTTACCGAATGAAGAATATACAAAATTGTTATCGGAATATATATTATAAAATAATTAGTTGCCTAAATGTAGAAATTAAAATATATTATGATGAATGAAATGAAAATTAAATTTAAATGTAATTAATACATTAAAATAAGAATAAAAAGATAAATAAAGCATCAAAATATAAGCAATAAATGAGATGATTAAATGTACTAGGGACTAAAATTTGATTTTAATCTTACACAAGGTTATAGTGTTACATCCCACATTACCCTGGGGAGTGGATCCTATAAACCTTATATGTATATTCTCATCTCTACCTAGCATGAGGCCTTTTGGGAGCTCACTAGCTTCGGGTTCCATCGAAACTCCGAAGTTAAGCGAGTTCGGCCAAGAGCATTCCAGGATGGGTGACCCACTGAGAAGTTCTCGTGTGAGTTCCCAAAAACAAACCCAAGAGGGTGTGGTCGATGCCCAAAGCAGACAATATCGTGCTACTATGGAGTCGAGCCCGAGATGTGGTGGGGACCTGGGTCGAGATGTGACAATTTGGTATCAGAGCCATTTTGCCGTGTGGTGCGAGTGTGCCGTTGAGGACGTCGGGCCCCTAAAGAGGTGGATTGTTACATCTCACATCGCCCAGGGGAGTGGATCTTATAAGCCTATATATGTATATTCTCATCTCTACCTAGCACGAGGCCTTTTGGGAGCTCACTGGCTTCGGGTTCCATCAGAACTCCGAAGTTAAGCGAGTTCAGACGAGAGCATTCCCAGGATAAGTGACCCATTAGGAAGTTCTCGTGTAAGTTCCCAGAAACAAAACTGTGAGGGTGTGGTCGGGGCCTAAAGCGGACAATATCGTGCTACAGTGAAGTCGAGCCCGGGATGTGGTGGGGGCCCAGGCCAGGATGTGACATATAGTCTAAAAATCTTTTTTTTTTTAAGGATTAAAATGAAGTTTTCTATTTAATTATCTCAGGTGAACATCCCATACTATTTTGTCATTTTGATTCTTATTTAACAAAAAATTTCACACAAAGACCAAAATGATTGATGATGAACACACTCAAAGACCACTTCTATTGATTTCAAATCTCAGTGACCAAAGTGAAAAGTTAACCAATCTCTATTGATTTCCAATCTCATTTTTTAAGGATTAAAATGAAGTTTTCTATTTAATTATCTCAGGTGAACAACCCATACTATTTTGTCATTTTGATTCTTATTTAACAAAAAATTTCACACAAAGACCAAAATGATTGATGATGGACAAACTCAGAGACCACTTCTATTGATTTCAAATCTCAGTGACCAAAGTGAGGAGTTAACCAATCTCATGAATCATTTTGGCTAAAAAGCCAAGATAATATTATGAATTATCTCCCATAAAAATTGATATACCCGCGATGACACATTCAAATTATAAAGTAACTCCATATTAACAAAGAATCTGGGCTACGTCGTACAATACGTTAGTCAAATAATTAGTATCGAAATCGCCATACATATGAGTCAAATTTTGGCCTCTTACTTACAAGTAGAGATAAATATACCATTAAATAGTTATTGCTAGTGACAAATACTAAGTAATTTTAGACTTAATTGTTAATATGCACCACAAGAAAATTACAAAAAGATCAGTAAAGTGAAACTTTCTTATGCTTAAATATAACATCCCACATCGCCAAGGGGAGTGGATCCTATAAGCCTTATATGTATATTCTTATCTCTACCTAGCATGAGGCATTTTGGGAGCTCACTGGCTTCGGGTTTCATCAAAACTTCGAAGTTAAGCGAGTAGCACGCGAAAGCAATCCCATAATGGGTGACCCACTGGGAAGTTCTCATGTGAGCTCCCAGAAACAAAATTGTGAGGCATAGTCGGGGCCCAAAGTGGACAATATCGTGATACGGTGGAGTCGAGCCCAGGATGTGACAATTTGGTATCAAAGCCTAACCCTGGCCGCGTGTGCCGACGAGGAAGTCGAGCCCCTAAGGGGGGTGGATTGTAACATCTCACATCGCCCAGGGGAGTGGATCATATAAGTCTTATATGTATATTCCCATCTCTACCTAACACAAGGCCTTTTGGCAGCCCACTAGCTTCGGGTTCCATCGGAACTCCAAAGTTAAGCGAGTAGCGCGCGAAAGCAATCCCATGATGTGTGACCCACTGGGAAATTCTCATGTGAGCTCCCAGAAACAAAACCGTGAGGGCATAGTCGGGGCCCAAAGTGAACAATATCGTGCTATGTTGGAATTGAGTTGTCACATTCCGGCCCGGGCCCCCACCACATCTCGGGGAATTGTCACATCCCACATCACCCAGGGAAGTGGATCCTATAAGTCTTATATGTATATTCTCATCTCTACCTAGCACGAGGCCTTTTGAGAGCTCACTAGCTTCGGGTTCCATCGGAACTCCGAAGTTAAGTGAGTAGTGCGCGAAAGCAATCCCATGATGGGTGACCCACTGGGAAGTTCTCATGTGAGTTCCTAGAAACAAAACCGTGAGGGCGTAGTCGAGGCCCAAAGCGAACAATATCGTGCTAAATTGAGAATATACATATAAGGCTTACATGATCTACTCTCCTAGGCAACGTGGGATGTTACAATCCACCCCTTTTAGGGGCCCAACGTCCTCATCGGCACACTTCCGACCAGGGATTAGCTCTGATACCAAATTGTCACATCCCGCCCTGGGCTCGACCTCACCGTACCACGATATTGTATGCTTTGGGCCCCGACCATGCCCTCATGGTTTTGTTTCTGGGAACTCACACAAGAACTTCCCAGTGGGTCACTCATCCTGGGATTGCTCTCTCGCAAACTCGCTTAACTTCAAAGTTCTGATGGAACCCAAAGCCAGTGAGCTCCCAAAATGTCTCGTGCTAGGTAGGGATGAGAATATACACATAAGGCTTATATGATCCACTCTTTTGGGCGATGTGGGATGTTACATTACATGTGACTCAAATCTTCTCTTAAATGCATTGCATCGTCTTATCTAAGTGACCACTCCTAACATATTTAGCTTAAGGACCCATTTGGTATTGCTTTTTTCACCAAAAATTACTTCATTTTAAAGTTAAGCAGTAAAAAAGTGTTTGGTAAAAGTAAAATATGAGCTTATTTTAAAAGAAATGGCCTCTAGATAGTAACTTTTAAAAGCAACCTACAGGATGCTTTTAAAAGCTGCTAATAAAAAGTAGAGTTGAGCCTGTTATACATATTTCAATTATTGTAATACCTTCATTAATATTTTAAAGATGACATTATTTGTCTTCCACACACATTTGATCCCTTAGAGAATAAAGTAACCATTACGACCTACCACTACAAACATTAACATTACATTATCAACGCATTACCACCACTATTGTTGCCATCACTATAACCATAACCGCAACCACCACCACTGTAGCCATAACCATAACCACCATTATCACCACCATCATTGTCGTCACCACCACCACCATCACCATAATCGTCACCACTACCACCACCAGCACTACCACCGTCCATAGCATCATTGTTACCTCTACACCCTAACCACCATATCCTACTAGTAGCACCACAACCATACCTCCACTATAACCACAACTGCCACCACAACCATAACTGCCACCACCTGCACTACTATCGCCCCTAGCACCATTGTTACCTCTAAACCTCAACCATCACATCCCACTATTAGCACTACAACCATACCTCCACTATAACCACAACCGCCACCACTGCCGCCATAACCACAATTGGCACCACCTGTATTACCACCGCCCCTAACACCATTGTTACCTTTATAGCACAACTAAAATTGGCACCATCGACATTGCCATTGCCCCTAGCACCATTGTTACCTATACACCCTAACCACCACATCCCACTATTAACACCATACCTCCACCATTGCTGCTATCATCACCACCATCGCAACCACCACCACCCTTACCACCAATGTCCCTGCCACTACTGTTGTATCCCACTCTTACTATTATGTCCATTTTGTTATTGTATATGATATACACGTATTTATTACATATGTGATCTATTATTTATATTTGCTAGTGCTTCATTTAGATTAATTTGGAGTTAATTACTATACTTTTGTAATTTATATGTATAAGGATGTGTATTGATAAAAAATGAAATTTAACAAGGTTTTGACACTTACTATATGTTTTAGTCTTCCTAATTACTTTGGCTTCATCCATTTAATTAATTGTTATTCTATTTGTAGGTTGAAGATGAATAGGTGGGTTGATTTTTACTTATTTGGAGCAAGAGCCAATAGTTTCAAAGGAGGGCTTTTCAACTTATTGGAGAAGGATGAATCAAATTCACTTGCCCAAAACCAAATTCCAGTATGTGGCTTTTAAGTGAGGTAGTGCAAAGGACAATTGATATAGAAAAGGAAGGATGAAAAGAATTAAAGAAAGATCGACAAGATGATTACATGAGGCAATGGAGATATCTCAGGAAAGAATCTCAAATTGATTGGAACTCCTATTTTTAAGCAAACTTGGACTAGAGGCACATATATTAAAGGGAAGATACGAGCGATAGAGAGGGACTTGGACTTCTTCTGGCGTGGTACAAGGCAGCGGTAGAGTAGCAGCAATTTGGTTTCTCTTCTTCAGTTTTATTTTATGCATATTTTTCGTAGAACTACTATGAATTCGTCGTTCATGGACTTCTAAACTCTTAGCTAAGGCTAAGAGGAAGCCCTACTTATGATTACTCTAGTTATTTGATTGTTTAATTCGTGGATTTTAGATTGAGATTAGTCTTGATTCGCTAGTTGAATTGGAATTTTGATATTTTGGTTACTTGTGCTTGACCATAGCCCAGGATTTTGATATGGAAATTATTTGCATATGAATTTATTTATGATCATGAATTGGATTCTATCAATGCTTTGAGAATGAAAATTATGAACTTTTATTTTGATCTGATCGTAGACGTATATTGGTTTGTGTGACTTCTTAGAAAATTAGATATTTGTTTGACGTGACCAAGTTGATAAGTAGTTAATTTGTCACATCCCGGCCCGGGTGGGACGACTTCCCGGGCCCGCTCCACCACCGTAGCACGATATTGTCCGCTTTGGGCTTACCATTCCTTTACGGTTTTATTTTTGGGAACGCGCGAGCATTCCCAGTGGGTCATAATTTGGTATCAGAGCCTAACCCTGGTTGCGTGTGTGCCGACGAGGACGTCGGGCCCCTAAGGGGGGGTGGATTGTGACATCCCACATCGCCCAGGGGAGTGATCCTTAAATGTATATTCTCATCCCTACCTAGCACGAGGCCTTTTGGGAGCTCATTGGCTTCGGGTTCCGTAGGAACTCCGAAGTTAAGCGAGAAGGGGGCTAGAGCAATCCCATGATGGGTGACCCACTGGGAAGTTGCTCGTGAGTTCCCAAAAACAAAACCGTGAGAGAATGGTAAGCCCAAAGCGGACAATATTGTGCTACGGTGGCGGAGCGGGCCCAGGAAGTGATCCGCCCCAGGCCGGGATGTGACATAATTTGTTTCTCATTGTTCTTAATTGATTTCTACTTGTTTGTGTATACCGGACCATGGATATATGGATTGTAGGAATAGTTGAGTTTAAGCCTGACCACGGTAAAATTCACATCTCTTTGAGGAATTATTGGCATGTGTACCTGATCACGAACATATGTACGGAAGTTGTTTCATTAATATGATAATTCATGGATTTACAGTTGGATACTGGGGTATGATAATTAGGGGTGGAATCAAAGCCTTAATGTTTTCCTACATTTTTTTCAATCATATTTTTTGTTTAATCATTGTTGACTTTAATTCTTCTTCGACACAATTCCAATCTTCGTTCCAATTTGTTAAGTAATAGTTATATGATTCAATTGGTAATTTAACCCCGGTGGATTAGATCACGTATTTACACATTTCTACTACAAATGATTCGTGTACTTACGAGTAAAATTGGTTTTAATTAATCTATTTATTAGGTTAGTTTACATTCACATCTGTATACAATTATATTACTTTTACATTAAATTTTATCAAACGCTTTTGAACTGCTTTTCTTACTCACAACAATTTTAAAATACAGTTTACCAAGCACTCATCTGCTTTATTTTACAGTTGATTATTCTTAAAACACAGCAAAAACAGTTTTTTTTATTTTTTATTAAGCACAGCAATCCCAAACTGATCCTAAGAACCACGAAAATTTAAAACCCCTCATCCCGACTCATAGTAATTAACAAAACTTGTATTAGAGGGCTTTTTTTATTAGGAAAACTAATAAAAATGACTTGGAAACTTTGAGTTTTAATAAATAAAAAATCATGTAATACTTTTATTTAATGGTTAGTACAAAGCCCAATATTAAACAAGTTCAATTAAAAGGGCTCAACCATATTAAAATATTGATTTCTTGATTTTGCCCCTGACGTTTTTAGGTTCTATTAGTTTTGTTTTCTGTTAGTTTAGTCCTTTCGAAGAAAACCATAGCACATTCGGTTTGAGAGGTTATGGTAAATCCAAGATGACAAGAAGATGACAAAGATAAAGCATGAGAAGATGATGGGATCCAAGTTTTGGGTGCAGCATTGATTTTAATGGAGATGCGATGAGGCGGTGGTGTGGTGCCACGGTGAATCACACCCATGAATTAAACTAGGATTATTTTAAAAATCAATGAAAGTACGCCCACCATCTTTTGTCACCCATATTATTTTGAGTATCAATTAAACTGGGATTATTCTAGGTGTGATTCATGGTGGGTGATGTAATTTTCAAAATTCTAACTTTTCAAAATTACATCTGGGTATGATTCCTTCTAGCTTAATTTTAAGTTTTGGGATCCAAGGTTTAATTTTGTTGTTCATGGTGATGCGGTGTGGGGGTGATATGGTTTGCAGCCAGAAATGTGAAAAAAGAGGAAAAAGATGGTTCGGAAAGTGAAGAAAGCATAATTACTGCACTTTTTATTTTATTATACCTTCATTTATTTGTTTTGTGGTGGGCCTATTTTGCTTGTATTATTAAGACTTATACCTTTATTTATGAGAACTATTATTAGCACTTCAAAAATTCTTCTACAATACTCATAAGTGTATTTTTCTTTCCATCTATAAAAAGTTTGGAGTACCAAATAATATTTTTAGAGTGCTAATAACAATTCCCTTATTTATTTGTTTTGTGGTGGGGCTATTTTGCTTATATTATCGAGATAGATGACGTGTACAACAATTTTCATGAGACTCACTTGGATGACAAGTCTGCTTAACATTTCTCATTTTAAAATATAGAATTAATACTAAAATTTGGAAACTTGTCAAACTGAATAAAGTGTAGCATTTAATTAAGCATTTTACTTAGATTTTGACACACATGCTGAGAGAGAGCAGGAGAGAAGTCACCCTTTCAAGTGGGGTTCCGATGTCTTTGCTCGAATACAAAAGAATATTTATGTAGTATTTGTTGAACATAAGTCCAAAAGTGTGATTACATGTTCTTGTTTGTGATTTGGCGAACATAATTTTGTATTATTTATGGAACTTCTCATAACTAAATTAAAATAATTCTATTTCTAGAACTACTGCGAAATAACGCATATTATTTCTGAAATTACAGCGAAATAACCCACACTATTTCTAGAACTAAACCAAAATAACTCACACTATTTATGGAGTGGAACAAAATAAACATTATTTGTAGAACTATAGCAAATTACTCACAATATTACTGAAATTGAACTGATATACTCACACTATTTCTGGAACTATTGCAAAATAACACACATTATTTCTGAAACTACAGCAAAATAACCCACACTATGTCTGGAACTAAATCAAAGTAACTCATACTAGTTTTGGAACTATAGCAAAATAACTCACACTATTTATGAAACTAAACTAAAATAACCTATACCATTTCTGGAACTAATAATCCACACTATTTATGAAACTAAACCAAAATAACCCATACTATTTTGGAACTACAACAAAATAACCCACATTATTTATGTAACTAAACCAAAATAACCTATACTATTTGTGGAATTACAGCAAAATAACCCACATTATTTCTGAAACTAAACCAAACTAACTCACTATTTTTTAAACTAAGCAAAAAAAATGGGGATGATGTGCTCAGCTGACACACCCCGACCGAGGTAGGAGCGTGCTGGCCGTCACACGAAGGCGACGTAGCCATGTGCACGTGCGGAAGCTAATAGAGTAGTAATATAAAAGTACGAATAATTAAAAACTAGCATTCTAGTATTAGGATAAGTGCTAGTTAGTGTGATACAAATTCAGAGCAGGTCTATAGCAGTCCAAATAAAATAACAACCGTAGTACGCCCGAAGGCGAACCTACAATGTAGAGTGTCTGTCAGAACGCCGAAAAGCTCGCAAGGGAAACCACCGCAACGGCTAAGCTACTAGAACCTGGAGGGGCGCAAAACAAAAGTGTGAGTGGGCAAAAACAAAGCTCTTTGAAAACCATTTAATAAAACACAATCTAACCCCTCGCCGTAAAACCTGTATACTTCCCAGAAAATAACATATGTACGTATGTATAGATATACTCAAACATGCTCAAGGGTATGCCAATCATGTTCAATATATGCTATGTCAAAATCTCCTAATGATATGCCAGTGCTCAGGTGTACATCGTATCAATCACACAATCCTCTGGCAGCCGGAGTCACCTAACGTGACCTGTACGGCTGTATATAGAGCTCAAATGTCAATCTCAATAACTAAACCTGCCCACGAGTCGGAACCACCTAAAGGGTCTGTACGACAGGCCTGGGTGTAACATGTATACACGCTCTAGTGCTACGATCACGTGAAGGCTGTGCGAATAATCGCGGGTCACCTACGAGTCGGAACCACCTACTGTGGTCTGTACGACAGGCCTATGCACCTAACTTGGATCCAAGCTGAGCGTATGGTGCGGAAGGTGAACAACACGTGAAGGACTGTGCCCTACTCTGGGCGGGAG